TGATTTTTACAAAGCTCATCGGTCTGAAAAGCGAGGTGTGCTGTGATTGGCCAGCTATCCAGTGCGTTGTGATTGGCCGAATACCTCAAGCGTGTGATGGAAATGTTAGGCCCCTACCATACTGTGATGCCCTGTCTGGCGGAGCATAACATAAAACCATGTCTGCATTTGTGATCGGAGAAATGACAAACAACAAGCGCTACTCTACACTGCCCAAAAAACTCGCGTTTGAATCATCAGTGGCAAATTCTTTAAATATAAAAAACATACTTACAGTCTGTGAGTCAGAACAGCCGGCATTGTAGTCTACTCTACCAGGATCAGGAAACAGTCCTCCATAAAATGTGCTGCACACATCTGAATATTTGGGTTGAAGTGTTCTGGAACAGTGTTGTAAATACAACTTAACCACTGATTTCTAGTCGTGTCCATTTTTGGAAGACCAAACAAAGTAGTTTCGCTTTCACAACAAAACACAGCGTCACACACAGTGGCCTAGAGTGAGCGGCGGCAGCCTAGAGTGAGCAGAGGCCAGGGGCAAGAGTGAGAAACCACGGGCTAGAGTGAGCAGAGACGGCGGATTCGATGAAGGAGTGTCCGGCGGGCTTGCGACAACCACATGTGACGACCCCGGGCTGGACTCCGCTTCATCCACGGTGAAAGCCGATCCGGCGATCCACAGCGCGAAGTTGATGAATTTCCTCAGCGACCAGCACGGATCAGCTCTAGGCATGACGAAGCGGATATCATCCTCTTTTGGAAGGCCAACCAAAGTAGTTTCGCTTTCACAACGAAACACAGCGCCTTCACGACATGGCGGCAGCAACAATACTACAGCGAGAATAAAAGTTATGCCTTCTTTCTTTGCGTGAACATTTGGGCGGCGTTATGCAAATCTTCCCACATAGTGACGTAGACATGTGGGGGCATGTTAGAACGAGCCATTTTAGGTAGGTGTGTTTGACTCTTAACTCTTATAAAGATTATCTCTTTGGATTTGAGACTTTAGTCTTTGCAACTTTACAGATCTTCTTTATAAACCAAGAGCTTGTAACACGCCAAAGAGAAAGGAAAAATTTTAATCGCATCATATGACCCCTTTAAATCACAATAAACTCAAACGTAAAGTTATCATATTATTTATTTAAGAAATGTTCATCATTGTTACAGTCCATACCATTTGAAAGCTGGCCAGAATGCAGCGCTGTTGCTGGGTAAAAGTCACAAGAAATAATTATGAATACTTTGATGCTATGTATCGTGGGAAAGTTAAATTAACGTAATATGCTATGGTCTAATGCATAGTTCCTTCATGAGCAGGAAATGGGAGTTTATTTAGTTTTTGATCATTATATTTTTTTATTGCCTATCGTTCCCTGGTGTGCTCTTCATTAATTATAAGTGTGCAACGATTCCTTATGAGCAGTAATTTGGCCTGTGGCATGTTGTTGAACAAAATCAGAAATTAACAATGAAATTACTAACAGTGGAGTGAAACAATCTCAAGTATCCCATTTTTAGTTAAAGGTAGCAATCAGCAGTCCACTTCACCATCCTCCACGAGAGGAATTTCTGGAAAATACAAAGCAAAACACTAATAAGTGCATCAAATATGTATTTATTGCCTTCTAATTCCTGTTGTCATTGCAGGCTGGTTTAGCCTCTATTCAAAAGTGATTAGTGTAGCCTGCTTAAAATAGACTTGAACATAAAACAACAGGACAAAAACATAGTCGATGACTAAAAATAATAATTTCATGACTCTAGACGTTACTTTGTGAGGACAGTGGCATAATACAGTGACATAATACATTTTTTGGCCATATCAAAACAGTAGTTATGTGCATGGGTATATTTTACCTGCTGGCAGTTTTAGGTTTTTTTTTTAACGACCCCCGGGCGGTTCTAGTGTTAACTGTTATAATACGAGGGAATCAGATAAACATGGTTTAAAGAATAGAACAGAATAATTTAATACACATGTATTTTACTGACCATAAATTTTGAAACAAAAGTATATACATATTTAATATACATAAAAGATATTAGATTTTATATAGAATAATTTTTAATGTTTTTGAAAGTCTCTTATGCTCAACAAGGCTACATTTATTTGATCAAAATACAGTAAAAATGTGAAGTATTATTACTAATTAAAACTGCTGTTTTCTATATTTATATATTTTGAAATATAATCTATTCCCGTGATTACAAAGCTGAATTTTAGGCAGCCATTACGGTCTTCAGTGTCACATGATCTTTCAGAAATCATTCTAATATTCTGATTTGGTACTCAATAAACACTATTATTATGTTAAAAAGAGTTTAATATTTTTGTGATACATCCTTTTCAGGATTTTTTTATGAACAGAAAGTTCAAGAGAACAGAATGTATCTATTTGAAATAAAAAATATTTTTGTAACAATATAAAAAAAATCTATCAGTTTGATCCAATGTAATTATATATATATATATATATATATATATATAAAGAGAGAGAGAGAGACAGAGATAGAGAGACCAGGAATGTGCAATAAAAACTAAATAGGGTCAGTAAATAGGTCAACTTTTATACCTTTATTATATGATGCAGTAAATAATGTTCATTAATATATACTATGTATTATATAATGTATATCATTAACAATATATGCATATTTAACCCATTCATTTCATAATGAACATTATTAAAAAGCAAGCAACATTACTTCCTATTGCACATTCCTTGTGTTAATGTGCAGAGTTCATCAGATTACGTTGTTCCAAATAAAATGTTTGAAAACTATTATTGAAACTGATGCAGGCTAATTTACCATCTTTGATGCAGTAGAACTGCAATTGTGGAAACCACTGTCCGTACTGGCAGGTGATGTATTTGTAGTCATTCGCTAGAGAGTAGCCAGGATAACAGTAGTATTCTACAACCGTCCCATGAATGTAGCGGTCACATGGTTGTGGGTGGCACATGTAATCTCCATGTTCTATCATCGGGGGTAAAGAGCATGCTGTAAAACACCAGAGACAGGCAGAAGACATCTTAATCTGATAACTCATTTCCTCTTCCTGAGTCCCAGACCTATTTTAGTATCTGTCCCTGTATTTGCTTACAGACACCCCTAAATAACATTATTACTTTATAGTCTGTTGACATTTTTGCAGATTTCCTTAATTACAGTTTTAAAGTAGATTTCAAATGTTTACATATAGATTTTGAGATTTTATTATAAACTATAAACCACAAGCTGCAAGTAGTAGCTTTTCAACAAGTAGTTTTCAGGGTGCAATTATAAAAGGTTTTTAATTATAAAATGAATCTATAAAAGTTAATATTATAGATAGATAATATTAAAGATAATAAAATATTATAATTATCAAATGATATCTTCTTTTGATTATATATATGTTGGTTTTTCAACTCAAAGCTGAGAAATTATACTGATATTCACCCTCAACATCAAGGCACCGGGGTGGCGTGTTTGACCAGATGAGGTTATACATGCATTCCAGAAATTCAGGTCCCTCCAAATTGTAACCAGGAAAACACTGGTAGTGGACTACAGTTCCAACAGGCACAGAGAACTCTGTTTCTGAGATGTTCATGTAACTGTGAGGCGGTATCAGCGGCCGGAGGCAGCCTGTGGAGACAGAGGACAGTGCATGAGGACAAGCAGATGTAACCTAGATCTTTAGTGGAGGATCCCATGAAAATACAAGCGTGTGGTGTTGGATTATTGAAGTATAGTCAGTTACAGAGTAGATTTGTTTTGAATAATTGGTAAAAAATGGTTTGCGTCAAACCTTGACAAGTTGGCTGATTATCCCATGTCCCATCGGCCTGACAGATTGATTCCATAGTTTCCGTGTCAGGGTATCGGATCTGAAATCCCTCATGACAGCTAATAATGAGGCTGTAGCCAGGCCTGTATGTTTTATTTGTGACATCAGCATCCTCGATGAATGGAGGAAGACAATCTTTGAAAGATAGATTAGCTACATAAATAAATGCTGCAACATGTTCGTACAATTAAACAAAAATGAAAGAATTTAAATATTTAACCTCTTAACTGTGAAAATGCACTATCCGAACTTAAATTAAGTTATTATCAGTTATATAAATGATTAAGTTAAAGCTGCAGTCCGTAACTTTTTTTGGTTAAAAATGATCCGAAATCAATATTTGAGTAAGTACATAACCAGCCAGTGTTCAAAACTATCGCCTTACTTTAGCCCGATTCACAACGGTTAGCTTATAATAATGTTTTCTAATATGAGTGGCCCGGGTTGGTTTTCGCGGGAAATTCGAGCATGGGACTGCGTCATTACGTCACGTCTCCCAGGGATTCCCTGAGGCAAGTCCAGTTTGCGAATGTCATGGTCTTGAAGAATGATACGAAGTCTGGCTGGACAAGACTTTGGCGCTTCTGTAAGAAAAACCACATCAGTTTGAGTTACAGAAAATCATGGGGATGAGGGTCTTTCCATATAAACCTCCCTTGTCCACTTGACGAGGAATGCGCTTCAAAACGGCAGCAGGGAAAGGTATGACTGCTAGAATGTTTAGCTGTTACAAAACCTGCACCTGCTAACAAAATTAGCCCCAACAATTGCCATATTCAACTACAGACTGAAACCATGTGCATACCTGTACATTCTCACACTATAAATCAAACACAGTGCAATGTTTATTTCATTCATTTTGTCTCTTTATTTATACTTTCCATTTACATAGTGTCATTTCACAGTAAATGTATCTAATAATTTGATTCCAAGGTGGTGTTAAACTGAAACAAATAATATGAGGGACCGCCTCCCACAACCCCTCGGATATTTGAAAATATAGCAAATGAGATGGTCAGGTTGGCCATAGAGGTTCATATGTTCATGAGAAAAGAAAAGAAAGTAACAAAACAAGGCTTTTTGTGATTATACGATAGGAGACACGGTGCAAATAATGTTAAGTGAAATTGTTCGTTCATCAACTGACAGCAAAAAAACATTATTGATCTTGACATTTAAGAATCAATATTGGTTCAACAAGCATTTACACTGGGCAGAAAATATATCCATTTAAGATAAAATCTCTGATTGGAGAATTTAACTTGTTAACATCTGGAAACTCCAAACATTAAAATTAATGTAGACTTACCAATGCATGGAAAAAAAAGGATAAATAACCAGCAAGCCAATATCGCAGACTATTAAAGCCTGTTCACACCAAGGACAATAACTATAAAGACAACAATAAAGATACAGTTCGAAAAAAAATTCTCAATACTAAAGAATAGCAGAGTCCACACCACAGCTACAACGATTAATAAACAGACAATATCATCCGCTGGAGTGGATGCTAATATCTTTATATAAATTACAAAAAATATACAATTAACAAAAAGTTATAAAAGACATTTCAGATCTACACCAGACAAAAATTCTAAAATAAATTCAGGTGATACACATTTAAATAAATCAACCCATCAATCAGACCGTTGTCTATTTACATTAAAGTGATGTGACATGACATGTGGCCAAGTATGGTGACCCATACTCGGAATTAGTGCTCTGCATTTACCCATCCAAAGTGCACACACACACCGTGAACACACACCCGGAGCAGTGGGCAGCCATTTTTTGCTGCGGCGCCCGGGGAGCAGTTGGGGGTTCGGTGCCTTGCTCAAGGGCACCTCAGTCGTGGTATTGAAGGTGGGAGAGAGCGCTGTACATTCACTCCCCCCACCTACAATCCCTGCCGGTACCCGCAACCTTGGGTTACGAGTCCGACTCTCTAACCATTAGGCCACGACTTCCCCAGTACAACCCAATAAAATATGCTTACCTGCCAACGGAGAGTGAACTGAGAAAATGTACCTGCCAAAATATTTCTTATCAGCCAGTAAACAGTATTTACATTACTTTAAAAAAAATACATTTTCATTGTGGCAATGTTATTATTTAGCTGTAAGTAGCAAACCGCGCTCAGTCACAGTATCATATAAGAGCTAGTCTCAGTCTCTCTGTAAAACCTGTTACTTAAAGCTGCAGTCCGTAACTTTTTATTGGTTAAAAATTATCATATTTGAGCATTTGAGCAAGTACATAACCAGCCAGTGTTCAAAACTATCGCCTTACTTTAGCCCGATTCACAACGGTTAGAATGTTTTCTTGTTTTCTCATTTGAGTGGTACGGGTAGGTTTTCATGGGAAATTCGAGCATGCCGCTGTGTCATTACATCACGTCTGTAAACATAAAGAAGCCTTTTCGCACAGCAGCCAGAATAATTAAATGTATAATTTTGATGGTGGATTGTAATCTATAAAGGATTATGTGTTTATGAAACACATGTGAATGAAATTAAGTTATATTCCAGTTATAAATGTGCTTCTGATTACAGATAGCCTGGGATTACAAAGATTTGTATTTGAAAGAAAACCAGTTCGAAGAGAGCATAATTTGCTTTTTTTGGGTTAAAAGAATGTCTTAATATGAAATTCGAAGAGTATGACAATTAGATTAGACTGTGCAGAAATTGAAATCTACACTCTAATACACACTACTCATAGTCACCAATGATGATGCTGCTAACATTAATAATTTGAGAATAAAGTATAACAATAAAAATAATTTGAACGGTTTGATGTGATATGAGCTAACGATCTTTAGATTTAATCACCACTGGTAGCGAGATTTATGGTAATGCTTTTTTCCTCAGTTGGTCAGAACAAACGTGGCAGACTTGTTACTTGTTCAGTTGGCAATATACGGTGAAAATTCTTATTTGGATCAAATTCCAAGACGCAGGCTAGAATCGGTGCAGTGACTGACTGCCACACATACTCTTCAGAACATCCGCGCTGGAGCCGTGCCGACTCACAACCCACGCAAGCTAGATAATTCCGAACACAGCTGCAATTCCAGGTTTTCAAACAGAGATGGCGACAAAGAAGCAAAACTTATAGACTGCAGCTTTAAGTTAAATTATTAAGTGATTCATGAATGCTTTGGAATACAGACCTAAGGTTAATCTCAAAAGAGGACAATCAGCAGATTATTTCTGAAGACAAGCATTTCAAAAAATGAAAGTGTAAAAAAGTTATAGACGTTTAAGTTTATTTTAAATAAAACGTGCTTTATATTTTATTTAAAATGAATATTTTACAAAATATTTTGGATTCTAAAATTGCTATAAAATTAAAACCTTGTGTCTAAAGTTATATTCCAAATTTTAAGTTGATATCACAAAAAACGATGTTCCTGATTTTGTTTAGGCGTTATACCAAAAATAGCCACAGGGTGACACCCAAACTTCATTGAATTTTTAATGCATTTTTTCTGTCACAAATGTATAAATTTCTGTAGCAATATTACTTCTATCACAAAATAACAACCAATTATGGAACCAACCTTCAGACTCAGACCTTTCCAACAATACGTGTTTTGTCAAGATTAGGAAAAGTTTTGATTATAAAATATTGTAGTAAATTTTGTAATATGATGCTAGGCACCGCCTACTAGGGGGAGGAGCCTGCTAAGAGGTTTTAAAGTAGCTAACAGAATGCTGACAGTTAAAAGGTTAAGACTGAGTAGCCTCACCTTCTGAAAGGCACACTGGTTTAAGGCTTGGTTTCCAGCCTACCGATCCATTATGGAAGCGCGTGCAGATAATCTTGGCTGGCCCCTTTAAACTATATCCATCCACACAAGAGAACCTGGCCACTGAGTTTTCAAAGAACAAACTGCTGCTTGGAGTTCTGATTGGGATTGCATCATGGATTTTCAGCCCTGCAGAATCTCCTCGCCGACGCGCAGAACATGATGACCAGTAAATCCCCATATCAATTCGTAAATACCCAAATAGTCTTTTCGGGAACGCGTGTGTCGCAGATCCAGCACGCATTATTATGCATTATTCAAATGTCTTCGGCAGACCAGAATAAGGCTCGCGCAACATAGCGATGCTGTCTAAATTTACGATGATCAAGATGATGATGAAAAATGCGTCATGCGCGTCACTGATCTACCTTACCCGGTTATAAACCAAGGTCTGCGGACTCTACTGCTGTTTCCTGCTCTCTCTCTCTCTCTCTCTCTCTCTCTCACACACACACACACGATTTCTTCTGAAACCTACCCACTGATGCCGTATACTGAAAATCATTTGCGTCGGGGTTTCTCTCTGTCCCTCAGCAGGGCTGATCTTGATAAGAAATGGAATAATAACCTTACTTCGGCTGTAGATCCGTTCTTCACTGGAAACTGGAAAGTAGCCTACTGAAAACAAAAGTATCCCACCTGTGGTGGTGTATGTAGGTTATCTCGTGATGAATTATTATACAGGTCAAAGTACTAGTGTGGAGCTATTATAAAATGAGTAACAGGGAAGCAACGTTTTTAGACAGAGGAGTAACTACCAAAAGCAAAAACATCACAGTTCATATATATATATATATCACTGTTATATATACATACATATATATGTGTGTATGTATGTATGTATGTATATATATATATACTCTCACTTTCAAATGTTTTTGTACGAACATAATCGTAAATATTTGTATGAACATAAAAAGATGCAGCAATTGAGAACACGTTTTACAGGCATTTGACTAATGAGTCCCTAAACAAAGGAGGGGTCAACATTAAGTGTGGCAGTGTCTCATGTGCTAAACATCGCCTTTATGCATTTGGCAATAAGCCGAGTAGATATTTATCTAGTCTGATGAGGCATAAAGCAGATTCTCAGGCCATTTCATATGTGAAAAACTCATCAGGACAAAAAAGTATACAGTAATAAGGGGATTGATATGATTTTTCAGTTTCAGTTGTTCTGTGAGAAGCTGCACAGGTCAGAGGTAGACTCTTCAGTTGAGTCTGATATGGAGAGATTTTGAGTGGCCTGAATATACCCAGAATCTCAGATGAACAGAATAAATAAAAAATAAAAATGATGTGTTCCTGTGGCTCAGCATTGCGTTAGCAGCGCAAAAGGTCGTGGGTTCGATTCCCAGGGAACACACATACTGGTAAAATATGTATAGCCTGAATGCACTGTAAGTCGCTTTTAAATGTATAAATTATTACATTAATTATTAAATTATTAATTAAATTAATAAGCCTATGACTGAAGAAGTTAAATCAGCTATTAAAGCCTTAATTAATAATAAAGCTCCAGGGCCCGATGGGCTTACTTCAGAGTTCTATAAAGAATTGAAAGATCTTCTAGTCCCTATTTTACTTGGAATGCTGTCTCACTCTTTTGACACAGGCAGCTTGCCGCATTCAATGTTAGAGGCTACTATAACGTTAATTCTATTAATTAAATATCATTCTAAAAACAATCAGCCAGCAGAAGAATGTTCATCCTACCGATCAATCTCTTTATTTAATGTAGAAAGGAAGTTAAAAGCTAAAGTTTTGTCTAAAAGGTTAGAAGCTGTAATTCCTCATATAATCCCCATTGATCAGACTGGATTTATTCCAGGCCGACGCTTATTGAATGTTATACAGCATGGACAAAATATTCAGGGTGGATCAGTGGTGGTGTCTCTCAACGCTGAGAAGGCTTTTGACAAGATAGAGTGGCCCTAAATCTTTTCTGGGTTTTAGACAAATTTAACATTGGTAACAATCTTATAAAATGGTTAATGCTGCTCTATGCGTCACCGCAAGCCTCTGTCTTGACCAATGGCACTCCCTCTCCATTCTTCTCACTGAGCAGAGGAACAGGGCAAGGTTGCCCTATGTCCCCGCAGTTATTTGCTCTAGCGATCGAGCCCTTTGCACAGGCCATTAGAGAAGATACATTCTTCTTAACTGATTCTTCTTAAAGGGGTCATATAATGCTACATGCACTTTTACAACTGTCTGTGTGACGTCACACAGACAGGCCCCTCCCATGATAGTTTAATTGACAGTAGCGTTTCAGCACAGATTGGACTGGCGTCTTACCTCAGACCCGCCCTGAGTGAGCTGTCATCAGTCCGCCATTGTTTCACCGCCGTAGCAGATGTAGACAAGAATGACTCCTAAGCGATTGAGGTCTTCTGTTATTGGATGTAATAATGAACATAGCAGTCGTCGTTTACTCCCGACATCTGAGCCGCTAAAGATGCAGTGGATTATGTTTGTTTTTGAAGGTAATGCGCCCCTGATCTACATAAATGCGTCTATGTTCGCGCAAATCATTCGTGATCCAGCTTCACCTACAGAAGAAGTGAGTGTAAGGTTTTTTAACGAATCTTTGCAAATCGCCTTTCCTAATAATGTGCTAATTAGCAAGTTTCACGATGAATGCAGCTAAATTAAACGGTCTCCCTGAGAGCGGCTCGGAAGAGACGGGTGGGGTCAGCAGAGCTCATTAACATTTAAAGGAAAATGCTACAAATCTGAATGCTCTGAAAAGAGCTGTTTTTGACAGGGTAAAAAAGGTGTTTTTTTACACTACCATTGAGCAGTTTTAACCAAAGATCTACATAAATGCGTCTATGTTCGCGCAAATCATTCGTGATCCAGCTTCACCTACAGAAGAAGTGAGTGTAAGGTTTTTTAACGAATCTTTGCAAATCGCCTTTCCTAATAATGTGCTAATTAGCAAGTTTCACGATGAATGCAGCTAAAGTAAACAGTCTCTCTGAGAGCGGCTCGGAAGCGAGGGTGGGGTCAGCAGAGCTCATTAACATTTAAAGGAAATGCTACAAATCTGAATGCTCTGAAAACAGCTGTTTTTGACAGGGTAAAAAAGGTGTTTTTTTACCCTACCATTGAGAAGTTTTAACCAAACTATGTTACAGACTTTTCATTAAGACCCTAAAGAATCATATAAACTTGTGGAAAATGGGCATCCCATGACCCCTTTAAATGTAATATTTATCGGAATTAAATAGCTCTAATACTCCGCTTCTCTGGAGGAACAGAGGGTCGAGGATGAAGTTATCATGCCTTCAGTTACCCCCTGAGAAAAGGGGTCTGGGTGTGCCAAATGTTCACTTATACCAAACAGCTGGTTTATGCAGCTATATCTGGGAGTGGATTAAGGAAGACCCTGACCATTCGTGGCTGGATATTGAAAATAATTCTATATCCCCCATCCCTTTAAGTCATTTGCTGTACATGTAAAAAAAATAGTTTTTTGTTTCTTGCTACTGTGCACACAGAGTATGGAAATTGACGAGGAAATGGGAGAATCACTGTAGTAAGCATTCCCCTCTCTCATGAATCCTGATTTCCCTCCAGGCCTTGAACCAGGACCTTTTCTGAAGTGGGTGGGGAAAGGAATCTCTGTTCTCGGAGACCTCTTAATAAATGGTGAGATTATGACAGGTTCAAAGAAGAATTTGACCTACCAAATTCCCCCTTTTTTTTAGGGATCCTCTAGGCCAGTGGTTCCCAATCCTGGTCCTGGTCCTGGAGAACCCCCAACACTAGAGCTTGGTTAGCTGGTTCAGGTGTGTTTAATTAGGGTTGGAGCTAAACTCTGCAGGACACCGGCCCTCCAGCATCGAGTTTGGACAGCCCTGTCTTGGAGTCTTCACTAATGAGCTGATGAGTTGAATCAGGTGTGTTTGAATAGGGATACATCTAAAATGTGCAGTGTTGGGGGTTCTCCAGGACCAGGATTGGGAACCACTGCTCTAGGTGAAACGCTTCATTTCAAATATACTGAGAGCAAATCCACGTGGAATATGCTCATCTTCTCTGGAGGATGCCTTACATAAGCAGTGCAGTACTAAATTGATTAAAAAGGTTTTATGGAGCACTGTTAGAATCTTCCAGGGAAAGCACGCGTGGGTCTAAGGAGCTGTGGGAAAGGGATCTGGGTTCTCTGATTGATGAGTGTGATTGGGATGCCATGTGGCTAGGGTTGTCTGGATATTTAATTACAATACGGTGCATCTCATCCTCATAGACTGAACCAGATTTGCCACTTCTTGCTGTGAGATGTTTCCCCACTTTTCCACCAAGGCACTTGCAAGTTCTTCTTTTTCACTGCAATCAGCTGTCCTTCCTGTCTCCCTGTAGCACTGTCTTATACCGCTTACATTACACACATTGCAGTTTATTGCTCTGGCCACATGTGCAGTCCTCATATGGCATGTTCCTGCAGGTGACCCCGGGCATCTTTCATCTGGTGTTTTTCAGAGTCAGTAGAGAGGTCTCTTTAATGTTGAAGTTATTGTATCTGTGACCTGCCACCTGTAAGTGTCTTAAGGACTGTTCCACAGGTGCATGTGCAATAATTGTTTATGGTTCCCTGAACAGGCATGAAAAACATATTTTAAACCCTTTCCATTAAAGTTGTGTAAAGCTTATGTGGATTTCACAAAATTTACTTCAAAATACACTATGCTGAAAAATGGAAGCTTCTTTTTTATGACAATTTTTACACAAGCAAGTATACCTATTCCTTTTACCAGACTTTCATTGTGCAGTTTCAACTGGCTGTAAACAGAAAAAAAAAAACATCTGACAAGGTAACCATTGAAAGAACGGATCATTGACAAACATAAATACCGTCACTATTTATTAGTGAATTAATGTATATCACAGATATATCTAACCATTCAGTGTTTAGTTGTAAACATCATTAAGGTTGTTGACAGTTTTGCAGCAGATCAACCTTAAAAGTTTACACTGAAAATTTACTTTTTTACATCTTTTATTTAGGGTACATGCAGTAACAATACAAAACAGTTGTTAGCAAAGATGTTTAACATGTAAAATATTTTTTTTCTTATGCATTGCAATGTTTTATCAGTCAACTTTTTGGTAATGTACTCCAGTACAGATATCAAGGTATGAAGTTGTTTGACATGTCAAGGAATAAACCGAAATGAAGAAAATATGTGGGCTGCTAAAATATGCTGACATCTTTACACATGGTCTTCATGACTTCATGGACTCTTACACTGCAAGTCATTCTGGGTACATGAATTTTCTATGAGAACTACAAGAGGACAACAAGGCCAGTTCACTTTTGAAAACAATTTTTCAATAACATTTTGTTTTTCAGTTTTCATAACATAACATTTCAGTTTTAGCTAGAGACATATTGAGAGATTTACAGTCATTCCAACAAGTCTAATCCTTCACAGACTGTGTTCAGTAAACAAATTAATTGATTCATAAACAAAAGGGACATTACCACAATCTTAATATACATGTAGCAGTTATCATTTACTTAGATACGGTTTCTTGAAACTCGCCAGAATCTGATGGATTGCATTCCTGTACAGTTGCTTTACGACCGCGCAAATAATGCACAAGTACTAATAGAGCAAAAACAGCCACTACTAGGAATATTATCAGCCCAACATACTCTCCTGGGGTTGACAGTGCCCCTCTCGCTATAGAATTCGGTGACGGTGTTGAATGTGAAGTGAAGACTTGACCATTATATAGACTATGAACATGAGTGCACTCAGTTCCATTAACGAGGATGAAAGGCTCATAGCATGCACATCTATAACTTCCTATGGTATTTATGCACGTGTGTGCGCAGCCGTGATTTGATTCACATTCATCTACATCTTCGCAGGTTTGGTCGCTTCTAACAAAACCAGCCGGGCACCAACACACCGACCCGCTTCTCATACACAACGCCTCACAAACGTTCGATGCGCAATAGAAATCACAGCGGCGTGGATCTCGTGCATTTGGACGGAATCGCTCCTTACATGAACACCTATATCCGGTTTCCATAGGAGTGCATGCATGTTCACAAGGCGCAAACATGCACCGTGCATTATCCAGAACGACCGCACGTCCTTTGCAAAGATCCCCTTGAGAGTCCTCACACAAAAATCCATCCAGTTTGTCCGCACATGGTCTCGGCGTCCGCGTTCCGTCGCTGGAGACAGACATGCAGAGTTGAACGCACGGCGCTTCTCCGGTCTCCAAGTTGGTCCATTCGCCTTTGCGTAATGCGCTCGTATTACTTAAACACTTGCCGCTTGGTAGATGGAGTCCGGACCAAAAGTGCCCGATCAGGTTATCAATAAGATAGTCGACAACTTTATCTGATGCATTCGACTGGATAGATAACTGACCGCCCCATTCTCTGCAAGTCTGTTCAGCCGCTTGGAAGTCCACTGGCATTTGGTAAATGTTTGCACAGTGTTTTAGATTGCTTGAACAAGCACAGCTACATACCATTCCAGCGCAAGACGAAATTATCATAATGAACAAAATCGTTGGTTTATGATAATCCATTTTATTTTGATTTCAAGAGGTACGGCAGCTTAAGCTGCATGAGGATATGGTGTTCAACGTTTTAAATATTTCTACCTTTTGAAACCCCATTCAGGAGATAAAAGGAAGGAAACCCCGCCTGAGGGAGTCAAGAAACACTCCGGAGTGCCATGGTCACAGTTTGTTCTCATAAATGTGATGCACGCACTGCACACTCTAGGAAGAGCACTAATGATCTTGACGAAAATTACGCATGAATAGCATTTCAACTGGTTGCGGTCACAAGAGTTTAACGTTCACTGTTAATGATTCAATCTTACAGGAATTCACGCACGCACATTAAAAGCTTAAGCTTATCTCCATTGCTGAACGATATGCGGCCACCACCCAGAGTTTAGTTCCAACCCCAAATAAACATCAGAACCCGCTAATCAAGGTTTTCAGAATTAGTTGCTTATTAGGTTACATGCAGGTGGGTTTGATTAGGCTTAAAACAAAACTCTGCCGGTGTTGTGGCCCAGCGGAGTTGAACTGCCCTGTTAGATCAAGCCAAAGAACATTGCGCTTCAAGCAAATCTTTACATCGACACTGAAACTAGTATAATTAAGCTTTATTATACCAAAATGTACAGAGATTTTTCAACAATAGTACATATCATATACATGAAATAATTAAAGTAATATAAGATTACGTTTAGTGAAGTTTGTGAACAGGTCAAAAACTTCTCCAAACGTCAACTTTTACGTAGTTAATTTAAAGGGAAGAGTGGGCTAAATTGTCACTTTTACTCAAATGAATACACATATCTCAGAATAGGCTAATTTTTAAAGTTAATTTCTCTATATGTACCTTGCATTCTTCTCTAATACAGACTTTAAAATTCCATCATGATTCAATTTCCAGAAAGAAATACAAAAGTTCACTCTACAAACGTTGCCCTTTTCTGACATGTCGCAATTAACTAAACAACCATATAGTATGGTAAAAAACGAAAACAAACACCTATACAGTTTGCATTAAACTTAGTAGCCTATCCCAATGTGGTTTTATTTTCACTAATTTGTCCAACATTTACAGAAGAATTGATCATTCTGGAATTCCAGTTTAAAGGACAGAAGTCACAAAAATTCTAACATTTTTATAGGCTATAAAAAGGGGAAAACAGCATTTGAGTAGCCTAAACCTTTGAATTTAATGCTGACAGATAATGAACAGTCATATTTGGGCTTCATTTAATCATTCAGTTGACGGTTGCTCTTTGTCCATTCCAGATGAAACCCAGCAAAAATTCCATCATGATTCAATTTCCAGAAAGAAATACAAAAGTTCACTCTACAAACGTTGCCCTTTTCTGACATGTCGCAATTAACTAAACAACCATATAGTATGGTAAAAAACGAAAACAAACACCTATACAGTTTGCATTAAACTTAGTAGCCTATCCCAATGTGGTTTTATTTTCACTAATTTGTCCAACATTTACAGAAGAATTGATCATTCTGGAATTCCAGTTTAAAGGACAGAAGTCACAAAAATTCTAACATTTTTATAGGCTATAAAAAGGGGAAAACAGCATTTGAGTAGCCTAAACCTTTGAATTTAATGCTGACAGAAAATGAACAGTCATATTTGGGCTTCATTTAATCATTCAGTTGACGGTTGCTCTTTGTCCATTCCAGATGAAACCCAGCAATAGTTGTCAGCAGTGGCATTTTTCAAAGCGGCTTTTCTTGAACGATTCCATCGGTGGATAATAAAGACTGACATGAGCACAATGATCACAATCAATGGAATAACTGAACCCAAGACACACACCAAAATCCAATAACTTCCGAGAAAACTTTCTTTGCGTTTACTAGAGTCCGCTTTAGTGTTTGTCTTGTTAAGTGGATGGGTGTTGACTGTTGACGGTCCAGAAGTGACAGGTAACCGACTCAGTTTAGTGATGAAATCAATAATAAAATACTACTCGCTTTGATGAGAAAATATTCAGTTCACCTCTGAGGCTGGAGAAGGAATTGTTAGTAGGCCTTCCAAGTACCATATCATGACTCAAACTGAAGCATCCTGTTTAGTGAACAACCTACAAAGGAGATCTTGTTTAAGCTTCATTTGTCATTTCTCCGAGCGAGTACAAATTAGAACAGCACTCTGTGAACAGCCAGCTTCTTTGGCAATGAATGTTTGTGGCTTACCCTCCTTGTGAAGGGTGTCAATGATTGTCTTCTGGACAACTGTCAGATCAGCAGTCTTCCCCATGATTGTGTAGCCTAGTGAACCAAACTGAGAGACCATTTTGAAGGCTCAGAAAACCTTTGCAGGTGTTTTGAATTGATTAGCTGATTGGCATGTCACCATATTCTAATTTGTTGAGATAGTGAATTGGTGGGTTTTTGTTAAATGTGAGCCAAAATCATCACAATTAAAAGAACCAAAGACTTAAACTACTTCAATCTGTGTGCATTGAATTTATTTAATACACGAGTTTCACAATTTGAGTTGAATTGTTTTTTAAAGAAGTCTCTTATGCTCATCAAGGCTACGTTTATTTGATCAAAAATACAGAAAAAAACAGTAATCTTGCAAAATGTTATTACAATATAAAATAATGGTTTCTGTTTTAATATCCTTTAAAATATAATTTATTTCTTTGATGCAAAGCTGAATTTCCATCAGCCATTACTCCAGTATAAAGTGTCACATGATCCTTAAGAAATCATTCTAATATGCTGATTTATTATTAGAATTATTAATGTTGGCAACAGTTGTGCTGTCAAATATATTTTTGGAAACTGCAATACTTTTTTTTCAGGATTCTTTGATGAATAAAAAGTAAAAAAGAACAGCATTTATTCAAAATATAAAACTTTTCTAACAATATAAATCTTTGCTATCACTTCTTAATAATTGAACACATCCTTGCTGAATAAAAGTTTTAATTTCTTTCAAAAAAAGAAAGAATAAAAATGTACTGACCCCAAACTTTTGAACTGTATTGTACATTGTTAGAAAATATTTCTATTTTAAATAAACGCTCTTCTTTTTAACGTTTTATTCATCAAAGAATCCTGGAAAAAAGTATCACAGGTTCCAAAAAAATATTAAGCAGCATAAAAGTTTCCAGCACTAATAATAAATCAGCATATTAGAATGATTTCTGAAGGATCATGTGGCACTGAAGACTGGAGTAATGATGCTGAAAATTCAGCTTTGCATCACAGGAATAAAATAGAAAAACATTATTTTACGTCATAATAATATTTCACAATATTAAATTTTCCTGTATTTTTGATCAAATAAATGCAACCTTGATGAGCATAAGAAACTCCTGTAAAAAACATTAAAAATCGTTCTGATCCCAAACCTTTGACCGGTAGTGTGTATATATATATACAGTCACCATTTTTGTCCTGGAAAAATATATAATTAATTGAACAAATACTGACATTTGTGTTAACAAGTGGTTTAAATATATGGTCTGATATGAAATGGTCACTGACCGTATTTTTATATATTTACAAATACCTCATTCTTAATAATGCACCTTCTGTGTTTTATACGTCTCATTTGCACCCTACTGTACTGTATCCATATTCCACTATATTAATGTAGATTTAGATTGCACTGTATTTCATAGATAACTGCATTGAGCTGGTCTCTGCACCTGTCCCTCATAAATATTTATTGTACATGCACAATACTTACATTTATATATTTATTTATATACACACTTATATGCACATATGCACTTCTGGTTAGATGCTAACTGCATTTCATTGGCCCTTCTGCACAATGCACAATGACAAAAGTTGAATCTAATCTGAATCTAATCTAATACGAACAGCCAAACAAATTTGAAATGTGAATATGAATGATTCATGAAATACCAAAAATGTAAAAGCATAAAATACAAAAATTAACACCAATATATAAAACCACTGCTAGAGAAAGCATACATTTTTGTAATGTACTTTTATAGCCCTTGTGACAACTAGCTCCAAAATGAGACTGAAGACAGACTACATGCTTGGCCACAAAAGTTAGTAATGTTTTTTTTCTGTATTTTACATGGAAACAAACATAAAATTGGTCTTTCTATTGTGTCTGATGCCTGCCTCTTGCTGATAAATCTAGCCATGGGTCCCATCCTGTGTTTGTGTTAAGCAGGACAGCGCCTCTGTTTGAATGGCAGGAAATGACCTAAGACACCCTTCCGGTGGGCCCTTTGGACCCAATGTCAGTGCAGTAGAAGTTGCTTAGTTTTTCTTAGTCATTGGGAATTGTGTTCTTTCCTAACATTGTCTTCAACACTGAATTGCCAAAGTGATGACAGATAATGAACCTCATCAGAAATTCACCAGAAAAAAAATATATAAATATATGCCTATTGTGTCTGATGCCTGCCTCTTGCTGATAAATCTAGCCATGGGTCCCATCCTGTGTTTGTGTTAAGCAGGACAGCGCCTCTGTTTGAATGGCAGGAAATGACCTAAGACACCCTTCCGGTGGGCCCTTTGGACCCAATGTCAGTGCAGTAGAAGTTGCTTAGTTTTTCTTAGTCATTGGGAATTGTGTTCTTTCCTAACATTGTCTTCAACACTGAATTGCCAAAGTGATGACAGATAATGAACCTCATCAGAAATTCACCAGAAAAAAATATATAAATATATGCCTATACATCTCTCTCTCTCTCTCTCTCTCTCTCTCTCTCTCTCTCTCTCTTTTAAAACAGAATACGTCCAGCTTTTGTCCCATGAACTCTGATTCTAGTTTTATAAACAGTTTCCTTCCTCTTTGTTTTTTTTTTAATTTATCAGGGATCTCTGTTCTTATCAGGGATCCATACAACCTCTCATTTAAATTTATCACACACTGTTCATGTTGGTTGTAATCCAAGAACTAACCAAAGACTGTTACAGAAGTTGAGCATAAATATTAAATTCAAAATGTATTGTTGAATTTTTCTAATGCAAGACCTATCAAAAACACTTTATTATGGGAACTATATTGAATAACGTTCATTCCAAAGTGCAAAAACATTCTCAATGTTACATAAATATTCATATTAATACATGTTTGTTCACATTATACTGTCATGAAGATTTCACAATCATTACAGGCCACGATGGGATTTAAAGTCACTACTTTAATGTCAGTGACCTCTGATGGAGAACTGGTGACATGTGATGCAATCCTGTTTCTGAGCACTACAGGCAGTTCTTTTGACCTCAGGGCTTGGTTTTTGCTCTGATAGGCATTTTTTTAGCTGTTAGACCTTTTATTGAGAGGTGTGCGCCTTTCCAAATCATATCCATTCAACTGAATTTGCAAGAGGTTACCTTCACTCGAACATCTACAAGCGTTATGAATGCTCCTAAGCGAAATTGCAACTGTCCCAAATAAGGGTATGAATACTTATGCAATGGAATCATTTAAGTTTTTTTGTTTTTAACAAATTTGCAAAGATGTTAAAAACCTGTCTTTTGCATTGCCATTATAGTGCATGGAGTGTAGATTGATGTGGAAAAAAAGTAATTTAAAACATTTTAACATAAGGCAGCAACATAACAAAATGTGAAAAAATGAATACTTTTGCAAGGCACTGTAATTCTAGGGATGCCATTTAAAATAAACCATCCATTTGTTCCTGACGCCGGGATCCTTCTGATGTCTCGTTTTTGGAACTGCTTTGTTCATAGTGAGGAGGACGTTTTAAGCTATGAAACTTGTAGGATGTTTTAATGGTACAAAGACATTTATATGCCAAAAGATCAAGGCAAATTTGATTTCTCATGTCATGATGCCTTTAAGAAATAGTTTTTTTTTCTTTTTCTTTTCCAAAAAACAACTTTCACAGTTTCACAACGATTACAAGTTCTTATTGCTTGGCACTATTTATGAACTTTGTACACTGACCATACTTGATCTGACTTGACTGGGGTTTTATTTTTTGCATTTACTGTACTGACATGCTATTTACATTCCTAAGTAGGCCTACTTGTCAAGTGTGCTAATTTGCCAAGAAATTGGATGTTTTAATGGTACAAAGACATTTATATGCCAAAAGATCAAGGCAAATTTGATTTCTCATGTCATGATGCCTTTAAGAAATAGTTTTTGTTTCTTTTTCTTTTCCAAAAAACAACTTTCACAGTTTCACAACGATTACAAGTTCTTATTGCTTGGCACTATATATGAACTTTGTACACTGACCATACTTGATCTGACTTGACTGGGGTTTTATTTGCATTTAC